CAAATTTTACACTATTTATAACGTAGATACAGTTGCAACGAAAGGGAAAGGACGTTTTTCTTTATAAATTTACCGGCTTCGTTTTTGACGAAGCTGGTTCATCAGAATGGTACACAATAAATCAAACTTTTTACAGTAAAATAGGGTGAGGATGTCATTTTTCCAGAGTAATTTTATCTTTCTATCTTACCTTTGCAAATAAGTTCTGAGTTACGGTTGCCATTGCAGCTGTCACCACCCATTCGCACTCTTCCGCCTGTGCTATTTCCACGGTTCGCCTCACCAGTTCTTTTCCTAGTCCTTTTCTGAAAGGTGTCCACTATGTCAAGAGAACCGTTACAGATAAGGAATACAATAACATACCCTACGTAATCTTTGTGAATGCACAGTATGTGAATTTTTAGCATTTTCTTGTGTTTTCCAATTATTCGCAAAAGACTGTCTTCCAGAGCATCCGCGAGAACTTTGATTGCATTCGCCTTATGCTCCTTGTATGGACCGTTTTTGATTTCTAAGAAAGTGATCAGAGTTTAATCCTCAGTTTTTCTTCCTCTATCATCCATAAAATTGCCAGATATATGGATTAGACGGCTTACCTTCAGCACAATCGTGATTTTCGAAGTCGATTTGTGCTTTCACTAAAGTATCGTCGGTATTCGCCTCAATCATTGAGCACAAGCATATACCTGCCAGTCTAAATCACAAAATTGTAAAATTTGAACCTTAAACTTACATTTGGTGTCAAGGCAATTTTGGAACCGCCTCTCCCTTTGTGGGAAATGATTGGGAGGCTCTAGAGAACCACTGCCCAAATGGCAGCTCATATAATATATTTCTGACAGAGAAATCAAGCTTAGAACTCTGGCCCATACAGTAATTACTACCGTACTTGAGGACGCAAGACACGGTGTGGGCTACACTTTGAAGCTAACTTTTTTAGCCGCGAATGAATTTTATGAGCTCCGCATTGGATAACGGCTTAGTTAAGGCTTCCTAACCAATCTTCAAGTAAAACACCGAGATATTAGATCTGCCTGAACACTACCCTTAGCAAGACGATGTTCGAGCAGTCCTTCAAACTTACCGTTCGCGATCATCATATATAAGTGTAGAATATTTGTTTGTACCTAATCTAGCATCATCGCAAAACAATTCAATCGCATCGCCTTTCGTCAACTCTGAAAAAATTCATAATTTTTGTGATACGAAAGAAAATTCTTACTTATTGATTTCGAAATTGGATCGCTGACGGCAAATTGTGCAAAGAGAAACTCAAGGATCTTCTCTTCATCTTTTTCAGTTGCTTGTACGAAGGTGTAAGTGGTCATAACCTGAACAAAGTATTTTGCTGGCCCAGTTTCAAATAAATCAAGAAATAATCCATCGAAATCAAAAGCTAACAAGTACGAAGTGAAACAAACTTTTGTCCTAAATATTGAAGCCAGTCGCTTGAAAAATGGGGTCATAGTTCAAATGTACTGTGAATTACTGCCATAACTGGTTATATCTGATTGATTATTGATCGAGATTATTCAAATCACTTGCACTCATGACGCACTCTAGATTTACTGGGCTCAGAATTATTCAAATCAACTTTGGAAGCAAAAGCATGTTCGGGGTTTTTTTGGTTGTTGGCCTTTTGAACATTTGCACTCGAAGGATATATTGACGTAATTATTTTGAAACATTCCAGCAATCAAAAACAAAACTTTCAGAATGATTTTTACGACGTGGAATTATGCATTTTAGAGTAGCATTAGCGGTGCTGGAGTTGAGCTTCTGCTCTATGGCTCATTCATATATTCGACTCCCATCATGGAATAGAATTCACATCACTCCCAAAAATTTTGGGGTAAACGAAGACCGTTAGTTTGAGCCACCTTCGCG